CTTCCTGCCTCAGTTCACTGACCCTGCCTAGGGCAGAGTTTGACTCCATCTCCTGAGGACGGGATCGGGGCCAGCGTCTGGCAGGGTCCTCGGAGGAATTCCAACTCCAGACCCCTTCCAGCTGCGGGATCCACACAGTGCACCCTGGGTGAGGAGAGCAAGCCTCCTGGCATGCTTGGGGCTCTTAATTTGTTGCGGTATTGAAAATCCAGTTAATAGAGGGAATTTACTTTTTAAGGCCAGGGGTATTGCTTAAGAGGAAGAGCATTTCATGAGGCCCTGGGTTTAAACATAAATAAATATACTGTTAGTTTTGCTGCTTTGAAATGCAAATTTATTTCAACATGATTAATATGTTTGGGCACAATTGGACTTGAAAGCAAATTTTGTGAAGCCGGGTGCCGGTGGCTCATGCCTGTCATCTTAGCTACTCAGGAGGCTGAGATCTGAGGATCGAGGTTCAAAGCCAGCCCGGGCAGGAAAGTCCATAGGACTCTTATCTCCAATAAACCACTAGAAAACCGGAAATGGCACTAGCTCAAATAGTAGAGCGCTAGCCTTGAGCTAAAGAGTGCAGGGACAGCGCCCAGGCCCACGACCAGTTCAAGCCCCACAACCAACCAAAAAAAAAAAAAAAAGGAAAGAAAGCAAATTTTGTATTTGTATCTAATTTGGTCCCTAAGAAATAATACGTAAAAATACCGCTCAGATGAACTCACCACAGCTAGTAGGAACACGCATACACAACACACAAAACATACACAGTGTACAAGACACAGCACACACAACACACAGCACACGCCTCAGGAATCCCGCCTCCATTCACTCAGCATGATCTACTGGCCTGGACAGCTTGTATGGGGGTGATCTTGTTGCAGCTTTGGTCTACATTTCCCTAAGCATGAGAGCTATGGACACCTTATGTGTTCTTATGGCTACTGGTATTTCTCTCTTTGGAGCAATTTATGTTCAAGTCTTTGCCCATACTTGAATAGAGGTGTCTGGTTTTTGTTGTTGTTGTTGTTGGGTTGGTTTTGTTGTTGAAATTTAAGTGTTCTCTCTATATCATTCCGGATGCTAATTCCTTACTAGATATATAGAATTGTAAGTATTTCATTTCATTAGTTAAATTTTTACTCTTGCAGCCGGGCGCTGGTGGCTCACGCCTGTAATCCTAGCTACTCAGGAGGCTGAGATCTGAGGATCGCAGTTCAAAGCCAGCCCAGGCAGGAGAGACC